AAGTGCAGAGTTCAGCCTGGATGCTTCTCGCACAAAATCCTTGTTACGGCGAGACTTTCACGCACTTTTGAGTTATTGCAAGAAATCACAGACGCAACCATCCTTTTCCTTTCAACCCTCCCTCTCGCCAAAACCAAAAGAGAGGTAAATAGTTTTCTTCAGCCCAAACTGTGCACTCGTACCCATCCGCACACGTCTGACGACTTTCAGGGACACACAGACACGTGTAGCACAAGTAAACGGGTGTCACGCGTTGGTAGTGCCACGCACCGCTGGAACCCGGGACACAAACCGCAGCTGAGTCTCTAGAGGTCATCAGGCAACGGGTAAGAAACACACGTGCCATCACCTCCCCCGTGTAGGATTATGGGCTTTGCGTGTAATGGACTATAAAGAAAATCGGCATTCAAAGAAAAACGCATCACAACTTTCGCACGTTAATCCAGGGCTTAGGAAAACCGGAGGTGTCTGAAGCTGGTGTAACTCTCCTGAGTATCAGCGCTGTGGGGAGCACATCTTCAGCAAATATTGAAACGCAGGGGTGGTCCCAGCGCTGGGGGGAGCAGTTTCCACGCAGGCAGTGCTGCAGATGTGCGAGCCGAATGCGGCAGCAGTGCCTCTGGACACCCCCTTACCTGCACGGCGGAGCCGCTGTCACCAGGGAAGGGAGAAATCCACCGTCCCGCGTAAAGCTCTTCTCTAGAGCACGCAGCGAGTAATTCGGACGCAAACAAAAAGTTGGAGAAACCACTCCCTTCTTATGAGTGGGAAGAGATGGCAGCAACGCTGACTGAAGGGAATTATTTAAATGAAGTGTTCCAAGAGAAAAGCTCTTTGCGAGTTAATCGACAACGCCTGCCCGGCAGCTTCGAGCGCATTGTCTAAGGCGGCAAAGAGAGACGTGCAACGCTGGCTGCTACGCACCGAGGAAACCCGCTTGTTTGTTGGTGGATTTGTGCGAGACAGACTAATCCCTCCTAATCTCATTCTGGAATTAGCTGCTTCCTTATCTCTTCCCCATTTTTTTTTTTTTTTTTTGTTTTGCTAGTCACCCGCATCTTTTACATCACCATCTTACCTGTCAGGAAAAGATCAGTCCCGGCTCTTTCACCAAGCGACGTGGTTGCGCAAACATCCGGGGGGGTAAGACAAAATATCCAGCACTGTATGCACATGTGCAGGTGTGTCTTTTTCTTTTTTCTTTTTTCCACAGCACACATCAGCGCCCGCCTACCGCGCGTCATCTAGCAAAAATGAGGAGAGCAAAGAATGACATCTTCCTCCAGTCCAGCCGGTGTTCTTCTGCCAAGAAAAGGCAGGAGGAGTTTTACGTGTGGAGCAAATGAAGTAGTGGAAACGGAACAGAGACGCACCCGAAGGAACTCTCTCCCACAAGCTCCGGCATCATGTTTTGTAGAAAAAAAACCCCGTGGCTGCTAACCTTGCCGTGGGCCACCTCTAGGGACTTGGAGCCACGCTGCTGGAATCAGGCGGGAGGTTTCTGTCAAGCGCAAATCTATCTACAGAGCCTCTCCGTGAACCCAGACACGCGTCTTCTAAAAGCCATAACCCCTTTGTGTACCAATAAAAGTCTGACTCCCTTCTAAATGCTTTTTCAGGAACACTGAACTTTCAACAACCGACACCTACGTCAAAATTTGGGCATAACTGTACCCCTCTGAAATGCTTTCCTGTATTTTAAAAAAAAATAAATAATACTGTGGGTTACAGCATGTACCTTTTCTAGAGAGTAACTTTAAAAGAATGAAACTACAGTTCTTTCTCTACTCTTAAATAAAGCT